GTTGAGTTTATTTCTGATGTTATTGAAACATGTTGATATTTTGTCTACTTTTTATGAAGTTATGTAAATGATGAATGTGATGTGACTACTCTAGGGTGATTCCTAAGGGGCATTAAGTGGAATTAGTAATATGAGATTCTACTTTCACATTGCACAAAGTGTAACTTGGGGGCTATCTTGGAGGATGGTCTTTATGTGAAGCTCTTGATTCTATGTATGTTTCCTCTAGTACCTTTAGTAATAGATGTTGACTTGCTAAATGAAATGAAGTATGCTTATATTTAGTAGTCTTAAAGATCACTTAGGTGGGTATTGAAGATGTTGTATGTGCGGTCTCTTTATGTCTTACCTAGGTGAGTATTAGTTAGGAATTAGAGTTTATAATTCCTTAGGTTACATAGGTTTGTAATTTTTGGTTTAGGCTCAGAGTTTATGAAGTGGAGTTAAATCTTACAGAATTGTAGTTCGTGATTTTTACCCTTTATGAGTTGGGGGTTTTTCGCGATAATATATTCTGTCATTCTTTTATTTACTTTACATAACGTAATTTCTCTAATATGCAAAGGAAAATATCGAATATACATATTCTTTAGGTAAATTTGGGGTCAGAATTCCAATAGAGTGAAGATAACAGGGACATGGAAAAATGAGAATGGAGAACTGGAAAGACCTAGAAGAGAGTAGAAAGAAGAAAAAAAAGTAGTCAACGACAAGTGATTTAGTCGAGGACATGTGATTTGACGAAAACAAGAAATAGTCTATAGCATCGGCAGATGGAAAGACAATAGCTATAGATAAATCTACTCAAATGAAGCCAAGATTCGGCACAACTATGGTCAAGTTTATACTTGATCTAATAGAAAAGCTTCCAAATCATATAAGAAGGCAGTTGAGGATGGAAAATCTGGTAAGTTGAATGAGGGATCACTAGATTACACCCTTAAATGCTAGAATCACTCTTCTTCTTTATCAACATTTAATAGATAATTATATAATAATATTACTTGTGCCATTTCAAAATAACAATTTCTGACTTGTGTAATTTGTGAATAAACTATATAAACAACTAATATATCATTATAATATTATAAAATAATGATTGTTGAAATTGCCATACCTTTCCTTTGATTTTTCATATTTATATGCGAAGTTAATCCAGCAATAATTGCATATCTAATATAATCTCGTAAGTTAGATTTTGAGAAGAAAAGTTGATATGTTTGTGTTTGTGTTATATGTATTGAGATAGGTGGATTTCGAATACTAGAAACTCGACGGTGTCCATTGTAGAGTGTTTTTCCATCGACAGAAGAATCTATGTAGGGTTTTTCCATGGTCCATTGGATATAATCTTAAGGAGAAAACTACATTAGTTGTGTTTTTGATTCTTTTTATTAAACTTATCTCTCCAGATTTGTTTGCAAAGAAGTTTTTGTTGTCTATAAATATCGCAATAGTTGACTAAGTTGTGTTTAACAAGACTTAGGAGAGTTTCAAAGTCTATAAATATCACAATAGTTCATTGAAGAGTTTTGTGAACTTACATAAAGAGAACATTAAAACATGATCATGAGTTTGAGAGAGTTTTTAGACTTATTTGGGAGTGTCGCGAGTTTGTGAGGGAAAATTTGTAAGACTGTAATTAAGAATTTTGTTTACAATCAAGTATGTGTATAGGATTCGTCTAAAAAGTTTGAGAAACTTTACGGATGGTAGAAGACTTATAACTGGGGGTTGTGTCTTTGGTAACTAAAAATTACAGTTTATAATTTCTTAACTAGGAATTAGAGTTTATAATTCCTTAGGTTACATATGTTTGTAATCTTTCGTTGAGGCTCAAAGTGTAATGAAGTGGAGTTAAATCCTACAGAGGTGTAGGTCGTGGTTTTTACCCTCTATGATTTGGGGGTTTTTGCGATAATATATTGTGTTATTATTTTTTTTGTTTTACAGAATGTAACTGCTGTAATATGCAAAATAACATATAGAATATATTTAATCCTTAGACGAATTTGGGTGTCAGAATTCCAACATAGTGAAGATTACTAGGACATTGAAGAATGAGAATGGAGAAATGGAAAGACCTAGAACAGAGTAGAAAGAAAATAAGTAGTCAAAGACAAGTGATTTGTTAAAAATAAGAAATAGTGTACATATAAAGACACCTAGAAGAGAGTACAAAGGCAAAAAGGTAGTCAAGGAGAAGTGATTTAATCGAGGACAGGTTATTTACTAAAAAATAAGAAAGAGTGTAAACATGTTGTGCGTTTCTAGAAAAGTATTTTTTACTTTCGGCAAAACTTTTTTAAGTAACATTTTTATTTCTTTTCTATGATGTATATGTAAGTAGGAAAAAAAAATTCTAAAAATATATTTTAATATTTTAAAAAAATGAAAAATATAAAAATAAAAGTAAGTTATGAGCAGAGAGTTACATGAGGTGGAGTATATTTTTATTTAATTTTGTTAAACCGTTATGATTTAATTCATTTGATTGATCACTCTTCTTCTTTATCAACATTTAATGGATAATTATATAATGATATTACTTGTGCCATTTAAAAAAAACAATTTACGAATCGTGTGATTTGTGAATTAACTATATAAACTACTGATATACCATCACATTTGAATAATAATGAAAAGATTATAATATTATAAAATAATGACTGGTTGAAATTACCATGCCTTTGCTTTGATTTTTCACATTTATATTGTTGACAACCTATTTCTGCCCACTCCGATAAATTAGTTCACGAGCTTCTTAAATTCAAAGCTATTTTTAAAATAATTGATATTTTATGAAATTCAAATATATATTTTGAAAAGTTAAATATGCGCAAGCATATTTTTATGAAAGTGTGAAATCGTCTCAAACGTTTTATTTTGTTTAAATATTTTAGTAACTAGTTATGCAATAGTTTATATTCTATTTGGAACTAATTATTTTAATTAAGTAGATTATTTTGTCTCGGTAAAGTTAAGAAGCTTATGTGATTAATTTATAGTAATTACTTCTATATTTTGAGTTATTTGGACCAACCAACTTCGGGTCATTTTAGTAAATTAAAGTTATATTCTTTAACAGTCCACTCTTTCATTTGATTTTTCCAACCCCATTTATATGACGAACCCAATACTAATTTATTTTTGGGAAATTTTTTAAAATGTCAATATTTTAGCATTTAAGAGGACTCATTAGCAACAATTTCAATATTTAGTAAAAATGTCATTTTAGTTTGTCATGTATATTTTTATTATTTATTTTTATTTAAAGAATATAATTATTTAATAACAAAAAGGAGAAAATCAAGGGGGGAATATTTCAAAAAAAGGCAAGCATGCTTAATTTTTTCATCAGTTACATTTTCAA